GCGCCGGCGGTCGCGGCGCTGCGGGTCGGCTGCTGGAATTCCGCGTGCACCAGCCTCGCGGGCGCGACCGAGGCGGCGGCGCCGCTCAAGCCGTGCGCCGGCGGCTGCGGGGCGGCGGCGTTCTGCTCGCGGGCGTGCGCCAGCGCCGCATATGCGGCGCACCGCGCGGAGTGCGTCGCGCTATTCCAGCGGTCCGCGGCGGCCGCCGCTGCCGCCCCTGCCGCCCCCAGCGCCGCAGCGGCTCCTGTGGCCGCGGCAGCGACAGTGTCGTTGTAATGCTGAACAGGACGCCGGCTGGCTGGGCCGCAACGGCGGGGCCCATCTCGCTGCTGGGTGCGCACGGGCAGCGCTCGTCCGGCCCCGCTCACGAGCGGGACGGGGGTAGACGGCATGTGGGTCGCAGGCAGCATGTTGCGGTGACAAGCACAGGCGCGCGTTTCGCGTTGGCCCACCGCTGATTGCCACGGAACGGTCGGAGAGAGCATTGAATTGTCTAGATTGATTAGGGCGCGCCTGGCTGCCGAATGGGGACGGGGAGGGGGGGGGGGCAGGCGGCACGGAGCGATTGGTGCCGCCCTTGGCAGCCAGCCACGCACCCCTGACGCCGCAGGATGCTACGGCTTGTCGCAGGGCGGGCGAGGGGCTCGCGGCCTCTCGTTTTGACTTCCCTTGGCGTTTGTCTTTGATGTGTCTTATCAGCGCGTGCACGGGCCGTGGGCAAGCATGCTGGCTGGCCCGGGCCCGCGCCGCGCAGGGGTGGGGTGCTGTCGGACTGACACCCATCCTTGGCCGCAGGCGCTGCGCCGCGGCGGGCTGGCACGTCGCACCTTTGCGCAACCTCGAGCCCTTCAATCTACGCGGCGCACCACAACGCATTCGGCGCACCTGCACAACAGGCAACCGCACCCATGAAACCTCGATGATTTGTGGCGTCGCGCCCTCCGCGCCCGCATCCGCCGGAACGCACACGCGCCGCAAACCGCGTGACACCTCCCACGTTCTTGTGCAGCATCGAAGGCAGAGCGCCCCTTTACAGCCACCTGCAGCTTGGCCCATACAAAGCAACAGCCCCAGTGGTGGACCAATCTTCACCAATCTGGCCCGCTTGCGCCCGCCACCTGTGGTTGAGGGTCTCGGTTTCAGATCCTGGGTTTCAGAAGCTGTGACGATTTGACAGGGTTCAAGGAACCGCCTGCGGCTTGTCCCTGGTGTTGAGAAAGGTTCCCCCTGTGCAGCAGGGAGCAGATGAGCTCGCACGCCGTGCGGCAGGGAGTGATGGCAGTCGTCCCCCTCTAATCATGTGCACGCTGCTGCTCAGCGGCCGCCGTCCCCCATCCCCCACCCGCCGGCGCGCACCGGGCCGCCTGGGGCAGCCGGCGCGCACTGCACACAAGCACAGGCCGGCGAGCCGCCCCTTGCATAGCGCCGCATGGGCTGTCGTGTGCCGCCGGCCTCCTCGCTCGTGCGCATCACCTGTAGCCGGCCCTGAGGGCCCTTGATCTGCTTTGCAGTATGTGCGTTGCCTTGCCAATTGCGTGCGCTTGTGTTCGAGTCGCCGCCGCTGCCATTAGATGTGCGTGAAGTCTTTCACCCGTGTTACAACCTCCGACATCATTCCTAAAACCTTGTTTGTGTTTGGCTATAATCCTTGGATCGCCGCGCCTGGCAGCGTGCCCTCTCTGCGACCCTGTGCCCTTGTATTCAAAGCGCCCCTGTAACAGGCGACCGAGTTAGCCCGTGGCAACCCCCAGCATCAGCGACTGCGCGGCCCCTCCCTCTGCTGAAGCCCTGCGAGCTGGCTCAGGGCTGCACCCTGCTGCCTTCAACAGTCCGGGAGAAGCGGCCCCGCGCGACGGCAGTCGCTGTTTGCTGGCGCTGTTGCTCACTGTTGTCCACTCGTGAACATCACATAGCACGACCCAGCGCTTCCTGCAGGCGCCCGCGAGAGCCGGCGCCTGCAGCAAGCAGCGTCATGCTGAGCGTCTTCCGCCAGGCGTCCGCACGCGCCCAGTCGCGCCCACGCCACCGCCAGGCCATTGACAGGAGAACTCTTCCACCCACCCCCATACACGATGCGTAATAGCCATGCACCTAGGAACAGTGTGCACTCGCACACGCGGTCGTGGCAGCTTCACTAGTGTTACACGCGTGGATGTTGCGTTGTTTAGACAATTTACATCACCACTTCAAACAAAACACAGCACTCAGAGGCGTTGGCCGCTTCAGAGCTTGCCGCGCACGCTCCCGCCCTTGCCTGCAGGGAGGGGCGATTGGAAACGCAGGGGCGAGGGTGGGAGGAGGAGTTTATGAGGCGCGGATGCTGCATGTGGAGCGCAGCTGTTGACACGTGGTGTCAAAAGGTTTCGGGGTGGACCTGGCTGAGTATCGCTGACATCATTTATAATGACAGTGATATTGGATTCAAAATCAGGCCGGGCTGAGGCACCCACCGTTCTCGCCGCTCGTCTGGGGGCCCTGTTCGAGGTGCATTTGGAGGTGGGATCGAGCGCAGGCGCGCGGCGCGTCAGCAGGCGACGCTGCTTGAGCGCGGCCGCATGGGCCTTTCGCAACCCTGCAGCAAAGCAGCGCCTCATGCAGCCGCCACGGCGTCTTCCCTCGCTTTCATGCATTTCCCATCCGCTCCACGGCAAGCTCGCACGCTGCTGCAAAGTGAACTCTGGCCTCCAGGAAAAAAGCAGTTGCAGCATTCAAAATCAATTATTGAATCCACCCCCCCACCTTGGTGATGGGCAGCTGGGCGTCCTTGGCGCCCTTGAGGCCGAACAGGCTGATGGCCGCGCCGCCGCTGCCGGCCAGCAGCAGCAGGATCGCCTCGCGGCGCGCCACGAGGTCGGCCGCGCGGGTGAAGAATTCGGACTGCGGGGGGTGGGCCGGGGAAGGGGTGTTGACCGGGCGAGGTTGACATAGGGGTGATGGTTGGACTGCCGTAGCACAGTGTCCCCCTCGCCCTCTATTGGAGGCTGCCAGCAAGTGCGGCCTGGCAAGTGCGGCGCTGCAGCGTCTGCCCCTGACAGGCGTGTCAAAATGGCTCCAGTGGTGCGCTTGTCGATGATATAGGCAGATCCTAGGCCGCCATATGCTGCAGGGCAGTAGCCTCAGCCGCGTTCCCTCCGCCGCCCATTTCCGCGCTGCGTGGCTGCGCGTCGCCGCGACGCCACCACTGACCCCTTCCACTGGCGTACTCCGGCCGCCGACACGCCCCTTTGCGTGCCCCAAGCAGACGCTGCCCCCCCTAGCCCTTGCCCAAAAGTGACTGCGTCCGTCCGAGCGGCTTCCTGCGGGAGTTCACACTGAAGTCTGCACCTGCAGGGAGTTGTACCGCTTCTCGCCGTCCTGGCCGTACACGTCCCAAGCACCGGTGGTGTTCTCGAGATCCTGTGGGCAGGCGGGAGGGCGGCGCAGTGGTAGCAGCGGGAGCTTCGAAGTGCCTCCTGGCACATGTCAACCCGTGCTGCGTGCTGCTGCTAACCTGCCGCGATCGCGGTTTCCACTTTGGTTGAACCAGGTCATGCGCAGCTGCACAGGCACAGCGCTCGCACGCCGGCCGCCTCCAGGGTAAGCTGCATCCCGCCCCGTGTTCAGGCGCTCACCGCCAGGTCGACGAAGCGGCTGTCCTGGCCGTAGGCAGCCACGACCTTCACGGTCCTGCATATGCGAGCGTGGGGGCGCTCTGCTCACATCAACAGTCGCTTGGTGGCCGGGGCGGCCACCACGCCGGGCAAAATAGTGCAGCAGAGAGCACCCGTACGCGCTGCGGTGGGCGATCGTTTTCGCGTTGAGGGAAAAGGCTGCCACACTGGGCCTCAACGGCATAGCAAGCCCAGCTTCCGGGCCCTCGATCGCGCTATACCCCAGCCCTGCTACGTCCGGATCTGGGCTTCCATTGCCGTGTGACCCTCCAGAAACACTTTCACTGATTCGATTTAGACCAACCTGCGGCTGACAGCCCGGGTAGCGGCCGCGGGGCGGGAGGCCCGCAGGGTAGAAGAACGCTGGGCGAGCTGCATGGCTGCACTGACTGAAGCAACGAGGCCACTGCTGAGTAGGATCGTGTAAATTTCGCACAGCCCGCAGGCGGAGTTTGCCCTGCTCTTGGCTGATGCATTCTCGCCTGCTGGTTATCCCTGGTGACCCCAAGTGACTCTTGATGGGGAACACGTAGGTGATCACCAGTGATGTGCGCGATAATCCAGCTCCTTTATCGGCGGGTGCGCGGGTGGTAAGTCTCGCAGAGATCATACAACTCAAACGCTCGACCGCGCGTTCATCAGAGGGTCTTGCTCGCTAGGGAGGATCAGTCGAGCACTAGCCATGCGCTTGCAGGGAATGCTGGCGCATGCACAGGCGGTGTCTACATGCCGCCGTTCTTTGGCACCGCGACGCTGCGCTGCGCGCAAGCGCTCTCGCTGCCACGCAGCTGGACAAGACGGAACCCCCGCACAGGTGCGCTGGTCTCATCATGTCATCAGTAGCCATTAATCTTATGCGCACCCATTGCACCTTGCAGTGTATTCCTGCGTGCTGCCCAAAGCTCGCAGACCACCAGAAGGCAACCGCCCTCAGCACGTTGACTGCCTACAAAAGTCTCGCAGGCTCCGAACTCCTGGCGTCATGCACCGATTGTTGCCGGACTTCCGCCCTGCTTCGTCCCGCAGGTCGCAGTCGCTGACGGCGCGGCGGCGGCGGCGGCGCCTGCGGCGCCCGAATCGCCCGACGCCTCGCAGCCGCCCGCAGGCGCCGCCGAGGGCGTGGGCGGCAGCAGCACCGGCGCCGACAGCGCCACCATGCAGCTGAGCGTGAGCGTGGTCACGGCGATCGAGCAGGTGGCGCAGGAGGAGTGGGACGCGGTGGCCTGCAGTGGCGGGGAGGTCAACCCGTTTGTCACGTGGAAGTTCCTGTGGATTCTGGAGGCGTCCGGCTCGGCGGTGCGTGTGTACGTGTGTTCGTTTGTGCGTGCTTGTGAGTGATCATTTGTGTGTGATTGTGTGTATGTATGTGTGTTTGTGTGTGGTGTGTGCTTGTGTGTGTGTACGCGCGTGTGTGCGTGTGTGTTGATGTGCGTGCGCACGCCGTGGTTGAGTTGCGGGGCAAGCCATCTAGGCTGCCTGGTTTTGTGGGGACACCTCTGCTGCTCTTGGCCCTCATTGGCGGGCGGCGTTGAAGGCTAGCGGTCGCTGCCGGCTGGCAGTCGCCGAGGGGTGGCGGCCGCTGAGTGTTGCGTTCACTGGGGTTCCGCGGTCGCAGCGTCGCGCATATTCCACAGAGGCCACGCGCACAGAGGGTGCGGCGTGCAGCAGTCGTCGGGCGCCGCGCCCGACGCGCGCGGGGCAGCTGAGCTGAGCACCATCTCAGCTGTGCGGTGCAGCCGCGGCCACTGCATGCACTCCCTTACCCCTCTGGTTAAGACAAGAAAACCCCACCCCTGTCATGCCACAGGTCCGGGAGGAGGGGTGGGCGCCGCAGCACGTGGTAGTCAGGGACGAGGCAGGGAAGCTGGTGGGATGCTGCCCCCTGTATTTGAAGGGCCACTCCTATGGGGAGTACGTCTTCGACTCGAGCTGGGCCAACTTTTACCAGATGCGCGGCGGCAGGTGGGCTGTTGGGTGAAATGTGGCCAACGAGTGCGTGTTGCAAGATCCATGCATTTTCAAGAAAAGCCACATAGCTTATCGGCCGTCCCGTCATGCCAGAGCCCGCTTTGCAGGTGCGGCGCCGCCTTCGCCGCCCCACCTGCTGCGCCGCCAGCCCGCGCCGTCCACTCACTGCGAGTTGCCGCCCGCCACCCATAACACTCTTTGCCCGCCCCTCCGCACGCCCCACCATTCCAAACCCGGTCAACATCCCGGTCAACATCCCGGTCAAACTCCCGGTCAAACTAACAGGTACTACCCCAAGCTCCAGAGCTGCGTCCCCTTCACGCCCGTCAGCGGCCCACGCCTGATGGTCGCCCCCGGCCCCTACCGCGCCCCCATCCTCAAGGCGCTCGCCGAGACGCTCGTCGCGATCACAGACCGCATGGCCGTGTCGTCGCTCCACATCACGTTCAGCGGCGCCGAGGAGTGGGCGGCGCTTGGCGCGCTGGGGCTGCAGCAGCGGAGGGGGATCCAGTTTCACTGGGAGAACGACGGCTACTCGACCTTTGAGGATTTCCTGGCAGCGCTGAAGCAGAGCAAGCGGAAAAACATCCGGCAGGTGCGTTCCTGATTTTCCTGTATCGCTGTTTGTGAAGCGCTCCCCCGCCAGGCGGCGCCGAGACTCGTGTGCGTTTTTGGGCTCGGTTCCGTGCGCCAGCTCAGGCAGCGGGTCCATGCTCCGAGCTTGCGGAAGCTTCCAGGGTGGTGCCTCGCTTTGCAAGTTGATTTAGCCGGGGGTTTCGGTGTGGGGCCGAGAGTTGAGGTGTGGGGCGCAACGGAGGGGACGCTACAGGACACACAGCTAGCAGTTGTGACGGAAGCTTCCTTGCGCACCGAAAAACCCCTCTGCCGCCGCGACCCCTCTGCCCAGGAGCGCAAGGCCGTCGCGAAGCAGGGCCTGACCGTGCGGCGGCTGACGGGGGCGGCCATCCAGCCGCACCACTGGGACAAGTTCCACGAGTTCTACCTCAACACCGTGGACAAGCGCTGGGGCAGCGCGTACCTGACGCGCAGGTTTTTTGAGATGTGAGCCGCCTGCGGTGTGGCCAATCGCCCTGCTGCCTGTGTGGCGTCGGGGACTGCCCGGCGCCCTGCCTCTTGCGCAGGACCTGCAACGCTTCCGTGCAGACGCCTTTGCAGCCCCCTGGCAGCCGGCTGCCTTGCATGCAGTGGCTCAGTATGCATTCAAAATCCCAACCTCTCGGACAGTGCGCTGAGTAGGGACACACACACTCTCTCTCTCTCTCTCTCTCTCTCTCTCTCTCTCTCTCTCTCTCTCTCTCTCTCTCTCTGTCTCTCTCTCTGTCTCTGTCTCTGTCTCTCTGTCTCTCTGTCTCTCTGTCTCTCTCTCTCTCACTTACACGCACACACACACACTCTCTCTCTTTCTTTCTCAATCAGGCTGGGCGAAGAGATGGCAGACCAGGTGCTGCTGGTGGTCGCCGAGAACGCTGACGGGGAGATGGTGGCCGGGGCGCTCAACCTCATCGGCAGCCATGCGCTGTATGGGCGGCAGTGGGGGTGCGAGGCCGGCAGGGAGTACCGCGGGCTCCATTTTGAGTGCTGCTACTATCAGGTGGGGCTGGGCTGCGCACGTTCTCAGCGCCCTCTGAAAATTGCTGCTGTATCTTGGGGCTCTAGAAGGGCGCGTCAGACACATCAACCAACCCCCGTCCCAGCTGGGGGCCTGCGGCGTCGAAATCCAATTAGATGACAGCCCTTCTGCCTGGCCAGCGTTCTGCCAAACTCCTTGACGGTCGCTCATTCCCCCTCACCCTCACTCGTGCACCTGACACCCCGCGCCGCCACGCGGCTCGCGCGCTGCGCGCGACTCCAGGCGATCGAGGAGGCGATCAAACGCGGGCTGCCTCGGGTGGAGGCGGGGGCGCAGGGGGAGCACAAGGTCCAGAGAGGCTACCTGCCAAACTACACTTACAGGTAGGCGGCCGCTCGCATCGTTTCGTCGGTTTGGCCGATGCGCAGCCTGCAACCATCTAAGCTGTGCACGTGGGTGTGCCTGCTGCCCTTCAGCGTGGGGGCAGGAGCAGCAGTGGGCTATGTTGGAGGCACCCCCACGTCGCCAGTTGCCTCCGGGAAAAACTTGCGGTCCCCTCCCCGCACTTCCAAGTCGCGCACTGGAAAACCCCTAGCCCAAATCCCGACTGACAACCAACCACAACTCCACCCCCCTCCCCAAAAAAACCTCATTGCAGCGCCCACTACTGCCGGGACACGGTGCTGCGGTCAGCTGTGGGAAGCTTCCTGGAGCGGGAGGCGCAGCAGGTGCGACACGCTCGTGTAACGTCATGTCTCACAGCACCTCGGCTCCACTGGCCGGTTTTTGACAGCGGTTGACATCCAACCTGCACGCACTTGAATGTGCTGGCCGACCTCACCTTACCTAAGTGTTGGCTTCGTGCCCAATCTATCATGTGAGCACGTTCACCGCCCATCCATGCCCCAAACTCCTCCATCTCACACACACCTGATCTCCCCCCCACCACCAGATCAACTACTCGTGGCAAGCCTTAACCTTGGAGGGAAGCCCTTACAAGAAGGACAAGACTCTTACCTACTTGATGGAGAAGATCTCCGCATTCTCATCTCTCAGCAGCGGCTCGAGCCTGGACAGCCGCAGCTTTGACGGCGGCGATGAGTGACGTCAGCACTGGCTGGGCATCCTAAGATACTGGCCTCTGGCGTCACATCTGGCGGGCTCGATCGGGCATTGTTTGCGCGCATGCACAGGCTTGGGCAAGGTCGGCTGCGCGCCTTGGGGGTAGAATAGGTCTGCATTGCGAGGTGATTGGGCACGTTGCCACGTGATTTGGGTGGTGTCTCTCAGGTACTGCAGGGGCAGAGGGCCTCTCGCGGGGGCGCGTGCTGGCCCCTCACAAGCTCCCTGCTGTGTGCCCCTGCTCGCGTCGCGGCCTGCTGGAGAGGCCTGCGACAAGGGGTGCTGCGCCTTTCTGCCACGTCGCCAGGCCTCAGGGCTTGTGTACAACAGCAAGTGTTGGTGTCAATGACAACAGTTCCGATGCAGTCCTGCGCGAGCTGCGTGCCCGCCGGGGTCAATTTTGAACCCCAATTCAACTGCCTTGTAAAGGGCGCTGGTGCTGACTGCACCGCGGTGGCAATCCATCCAGTTGGCCCCACTGCCTTTCGCTTTGACCAAGCCCGGCTCCTCACAAGCATAGGCCGGCTGGAGGGGATGTGTTGTCGGCGGCGGCGGCCCTCGGCGCCTCACTGCGCGCATGGGTGTCGTTGAACGCGTGTGATTATCAATCCCGTACTACCTCGAGTGCAAAGGAATGGGTAGGTGGGCTTTGCAGGGGTGCGGGGAGAGTTAGAGAGCGGTCAAAGCATGGATTCCTGGTGGCTGCGGGAGGGCTGGAGGCGTGTGTGGCAGACAGGCGAGTCGTATTGTTTGTAATGCGCGTTTGC